GCCAGAGCAGCTCTTTGCCACCACGAAGTCTTACAGTTGGCTGTGGCTTGTACCTCGCCCAACCTTAGCAACAACCTGCGAGAGTTTTCGAATATATACGAGAATAGGCACGAGCTTCAAGATGCGGCATGTAGTGTGACGGAATGCCTAAAGGAGCTTATTCAATTGCGTCTTGCCCGTTGGTTGCCAATTAGCGCGTAAGTTGTTATCGACTTCATATTCTAGTTAGGGGTAATCTAACTTGTCTCAGTGTCGCATGTACTGCATTACCTTTAGTCCTTCATATCATCGACGTCAAGCTATCTTCCCAGAATAGGAATAAGACCGGCACAGTAGATTCAGATCCGCAGATGGCAGCTAAGCAACACCGTCTTAACATTCTCATCGAAGCGATGAAGACATATCAACCTCAATACGACGGCGTAGACTATATCAGCGAAACTATCAGACATATTATCAACTTGGCTCAACTAGATGCCCCTGCTAGTACTGGATGGTGTTTCTCAGGCCTCTCTACAGATGGCAAGCAACCGGCGCCAGCGGATTGGACTGATATACTGGCCTCCCAACCAGGCTACTATCTACGATTAGCCATGACAATGGATTTATGTTTTAGCAAGGGCCGGCTAGCGGAAGAGTCGGATTTCCCAGAAAACCTACGAGGGCTATTTTCAGCTGATTTTAGCTCGATCAGGGCCCTCGTCGCAAGTGGGAGGTCAGTTTCTGGGACGACGTCAGCGGCGCAGAACCAAGGGACGAACTACTTCGCGCCGAACTCGGCTATAAACATAACGCCGGGTACAGTACACTCGCTATCGTCAGATGAGGAATCTAATTCGCCTAATTCCTTCGATGGCAATGGTAACAACACCTCCGACTCACATTTCGACGGGAATCATGCTGCACTAAACCCCGCCGACATCGACATGTCCGGGGTATTCGGTAACACGCTGAACATAGACCACCTCGCCAGCGAAGTCCTTGCCGCGTACGGGCTAAACGCAGAAACGGGCGGTGGTATAGGAGAAGACGATTGGATCGAGAGGGCGTGGAGCGACGAGGAGATGAAAGACGCAGGCACTGCGGCGCAAGGCCAAGATCATGGCGGCGCGGATAAGGAAACGGCTCGGGTTCTGCTCGATGCTTTACGAGATGATAGTATAACATGCGCTGTATGAAAATGTTCTTTCGGTTGGGCTTCGGTTGCATGAGAAGGCGTTTCGGTCTGGAAATCAGTTAACCTAGGGCAAATATTATCGGTCGTCGGGATATGGTATAAAAAGGTCTTACTTGATGGCGTTTAGCCATCCCGGGAGTGTTGCCCGGATTCATACGTTATTTATTTAGGTACATTATTTATAGGATTCAATACCATGATGTGCCTTATGTATTCATGAGTTGTTAATGGAGCCAACATTCCCGAGATCTGTGTCTGATTATGAGTAAATTATCGAATAATTAGTTATGTCTTCGGTGTAACTGATGAAGTAGTATATGATTTACCTAACGTTGTTTTCTTACCTATATCATCAAGACTTCGGGGCTCAAAAAACTCCCTCCGTGATACAAATTCCTAAACCATGTCTCGTACGAAGTACCCCTCACGATAATGTGGGACTGCTATAAGGTATATAACTGTCATCGGGTTTTAATCAGTTCTCAATTAGTACACTACAGTTAAATTACTCACTATAAATCATTATTAAAAATCCGGAGTTAAAGTACCTAAAACTTCATGATGTATTTCTGGTATTGCGTACTCGCATTCAGCGGAACTGGCTTCGGGGCATGGCAATTCCCCCAACAGCCTATGTCCGCGCCTGGCTATAAGCCATATACGGGCGTAGATGACGACGTGGATATTGTCAGCGGAAGTCAATTTAATGGCTTAACCACATACGGGAACCTGCCATATCTTAACTGCGTATCAGATGAAGAAGTGGGTGATAAAAAATACGATATTGCAATATTAGGCGCACCGTTTGATACAGTTAGTACCTATGCTCGCCCCCTTTAGATTGATAGGCCGCTAATGTTGAATAGGGGGTTACGGCTAGACCCGGGGCTCGGTACGGTCCGAGTGGTATCAGGGCCGGAAGCACAAGGATAGAGAAAGAGACCGCATGGAGCGTGTATACCGGTAATCATGGTTTACGTATAATCCATCTTGAACTGCCGTATCTGACGAGGATCCCAGGTAAAAACCCTTTAAAATCATGGGCGACAATTGTCGATTGCGGTGATGCGCCACTACCATGGCTGGATAACAACGTTGCTCTGGCAAAATTAGACAAAACACACAAGGTTATCTCCGGGAGGAAAGCTTCTAATGAACGCAATTCTGCGCATCCGAGGATAATAACACTAGGCGGCGACCATACTACGACATTATCGGCGTTGAGATCGACGTACCAGCGATGGGGACAAGTATCTGTAGTCCACTTCGATGCTCACATTGGTCAGTAGGCTCTTATATCATTGACTTATATCATTGAAACCATTGAGCTAACTCGACGATAGATACATGGGATCCTTCCGTACTTGGTGAGTTGAAAATGAGCACAGTCAATATAGAAAGGGGATTTAACACCTTGATATTATAGGAGGTGATATTTCAGACTATGCGTAAGTCCTAAATACCTACATACATATTTAATATAAAACGACTGCAATACCTATCAATTGAAAAGCTAACAAATACACTCCAAGCGGTTTAAACCACGGAACTTTTCTTCACATCGCACACGAAGAGGTAACCACCTATATTATCTGACGACATTCCCCCATGAGCTAACATAATCACCAGGGCCTTATCCGCAACAGCTCCATACACGCCGGAATACGGGCACCTGTAATGCGCAAAGCAAAAGACATGGAAAACGACGTCCGCTGCGGATTCGACACCATCAAGGCTCGCGACTTGGACAAGATCGGCACTGCAGGTGTGATTTCGCAGATTAAAGAGCGTGTTGGAGACTCCAGGGTCTATATTAGCGTCGACATCGATGTTCTAGACCCAGCATTTGCGCCGGGTAAGTGATGATGATGATGATTACGTGGGGGGGTTTGGCCCTGAGATTAAAGTTACTGATGCTGACTGGCATGCATTACAGCGACGGGAACGCCCGAGCTGGGAGGCTGGTCGTCGAGGGAACTTCTCACGATCCTCGACGGGCTGGACGGTCTTGACATCATTGGCGGGGATGTCGTGGAGGTGGCACCAGTCTACGATACTGCCGGACAAACAACAACGCTCGCGGCATCTGAAGTCGTTTTCTCCCTAATCTCGCTAATGGTTGAGAATCCAGTGAAGTCGTAGTCATACATCTTATCACCGTCTCCGGAATCCAACATCTTTTCGAACTTTAGGTTGGATTGGAAATGGTTGTAGAATATCTACAGGAATGCTCCGAGAAAAATCAAATAATGTATGCTACCATCTAGTTTGGAGGAGGAAACCCTAGAAGAAAGGGATCAGAACGATCCAACTTATACACCACATTATGACAAGCCACTTGATGCACCGCTGTAAAATGCGTTATCTTGTAGGCGGCTAGGGCTTGCTCTTTTGTACAGAGAGGTTAGCACTCGCCTTAGACCCGATCCAGTTTCCGTCGAATGTTTCGTGTCCGCTTCATCAGCTTCTTGTACTTCTTCTTCTTCATCTTCAGCTTCCTTTGCCTGCGGACGCTGATGGCGTGCATGTCGGGGCTCTGGCCGCGAACTTCCTCACGCCACCGAATCTGGCGAAGAGCCATACGCTCGAGGAATGTTTTCGGTGCGGATGGTTCTTCGATCACCTCAGGGCTATGCGCTACGATTCGTATCTGACCGTTCTCATCTGTAGTCTCCTCGAGCGTGAACATGGCCTTGTAGACTCGATGCTGCGGTACATCCTCCACTTCCTCGTGAGCGGTCTCCGCCTTAGCGGTAGCCTCGTTTTGAGGTAAGGGAGGGGGTCTGAATGGCAGAAATTGACCAGACATGGCATTGAGCTGGACATAGACGCTCGATTCGGTGCCGTCCGGGTGTTTGAGATCAATCTTGCGCGTTAACTCGCCGTTATGGCCCGTAATAGTTTCGCCACTTTGTTGGCCATCTAGATCCAGGTTTTGCATAGGCTGTTCGAGCTCATCGACGGTCCTAGATAGCGTAGACATGACATCGGCATACTTGTTGTTCTTTGTGCGAGGGGTGAAGATTTGCGCAAACGCATCGTCGGTAATGGTCCTAGGGAAGCTATGGGTTACAGACATAGGTCGATGCAGGGAGAAGAATGTCGACAGAGCGAGAGCTGTTCAAGAAGTCAGCAGGTAAGGGAGGCATTTAAATAGAGTACGGCACGATCTATACGAACCTTCTTGCGGCACATGTTGTGTGCTAGGAACACTAGGGAGTTTTTGCTGAATATCCATCCATTCTTTGGTCTTGCGCCTGCGCTTCTCTCCGCTTTGTTTTGAAGACTGAGACGGTGAAGCGGTAACCTGACCATCCGGAATCCCCTTGGGAGAGTCGTTAGGGCTCGAAGGCTTCGAGGATGAGTAGCGCCTTCGCTGCTGACCACTCGTATTACAACAGAGGGCTAGGGCGGCTGGCGCTCGAGGGCTCGAGGAGGACAAGTTAGATAGTAGTGATGATTGAGGTGCGGCGGAGACCACACGCCGCACCGAAGAGGGCAACATCATGCCCTAATTATTCGGCGGGAGGAGGTATAGGGGATGAATGGTAAGTAGAGATATCCCTCGGTGGGATGATGACGGATGGCGGATGGTGAATGGTGAAAAGAGGTTGAAGAGCTTCGCTTCGGAGGATTAGCATTTAGCATGCGATCGACAAGGTCACACTTGCAAAACCTGGTCATGCTTTAATGCGGCTGCAAGGCTCCGAAAAATCCCCTAGGTTAGCGCCAAATTGTCTTAATCGATAAGGATCCTTTACGGTACGCATAAGTGCATATCTCTTTTTAGGTTTATACAAGCGCATTTATCTCAACTGCCGCTGAATCTCTCTCGCTCTTACTTAAATTATTATACTACCAAGTACCTACCTAAATGTTGCCTACCTCCTAGGTACCTAAGGTATAAGTGTAATCTTTACTTTTCCCTCATCATCTCCTCTATGAATTAGTTAAATCCAGTCCTGATCATCGATGCTTAATGCTTCTCTTAAAAAGTTATTACTAACTTACCATGGCGTCGTTTGCAGAATTACCCACCGAGATCATCTTCGAAATCATAGACCGGCTCTTCGACATCTTAGACGTTGTTGCGCTATCTTCAACAAATCGCCGCCTCCACGATATTGTCACAAAGAACAACAAAATAGTTAGCAGGTTCGATAAGGCTTCTCTCGATCAGAATCTGCTCTTAGCTGCATTCTTAGGTCAAATCAATGTAGTCAAACTTCTTCTAGACTATGGCGTCAACCCGAACCAATATCATGTCGGTCGTATAGACAGGTCTGTCCGATGTCAATACCATACGTTTAGTAGCTTGGGGGTTCCAGATCAATTTACTGCTCTGGTCCGTAATATTCCCACCTTAGATGACATCATGGACTGGACCTAGATGGACCAGGAATGGTATGGTCTTTGGTGTTCAACTCCACTGCACCTGGCGGCGTATAGGGGGCACGATGATATTGTGGCGCTCCTAATTAAGAGAGGTGCGAGACTCACCTTAAAGTCCATTGGTGTCCACGGGCGTAAACACGCTGCGAATCCGCCCTGGACTCCGTTGCATCTCGCAATTTTTAGGATGAATTTATCCACCGCAAAGTTAATACTCAGTCACGGCAATCGAACGCCTATGCTCCCAAGACAACAACGTTTATACCCATTAAGTAAGGCAACTGACTATGCTCGTTGGTTTGTAAAATATACATTCGATACGCAAGTGACAACAGAAACCAAGTGGACTTGCGACAAATGGCTGGCCGTAAAGGGACTGAGCATTAACGGGCCTGACACCCGGGGTCTTTTGAAAGATTGCCATCATATCTGCCTTTCTCGAGTAGGTTTTTACAGCTTTAGAAAGTCTCGTCTTCCAGCATATTTTTTTTCGACTCGTGTCTTCTTGAGCACTTCAATTCTAACTTCAACTTTAACAGAATTGCGGGTTGGTGTCATATGCCATTGATATGCATATTGTCCAGGGCGAAACCGGCATCGATAGACCGCTTATTCATCTCTGTCTTCAAGACCCGTGGGCAAACATACCTCGATGGCGTAATGCTGGAGTTACCTTGGAAGTAGCCGAAGTACATCTTCCTAAGTATGCCTTACCTTGGTTCGAATATCTCCTCAACCACGGAGCCAACGTTGATGCTAGGGATTCTATGGACTTCAATGCCACGGCTATGATGGTCGCAGCGCTCAATGGTATTGAGCCGGCTATGGGCTTGCTTATACAGCATGGTGCAAATGTCAATGCGAAGGATAGAGCAGGCTTTACTGCCCTACATGCAGCCTGCATACGTTCTAAGCCAGAGATTATTACAAAACTCATCGAAAATGGGGCACGAGTAAATGCTACTGATTCCACGGGCAACTCGCCCCTTCATTTTATATGCGGCACAATCGCCGGCAAGCATCACAATAAATTTTTAAAAGCAATCGAACTTCTTCTGACCCACGGAGCCAAATCAATGCCTAGAGCCTGGAAAACTCGGGTTCAGTCTCCTCTGGAAATTGCATTTCGCAATCGATACCTTGATGCTGTGAGATTGATAATTTTAAAATCCAACCCAAGACCTACTCGAGACCAGATTTGGGCTTTATTTGAAGTCGTGATCGAGGCGTCTGACGTCTCTCGACTAAGGCTACTTCTAATGCTTGACAAGCACAACTTCATTCTTCGAAGTAAATCTGCTCTCATTAAGCTCGTACAAAGCAACAATCAGACAACTGAAGCGGCAATGCTTCTTCTTGAAAAGGGCGCTCCATGCGATGGACAGTTAGTCTTTTGGATTGTTTCTTACCAGAAAGGTAATGACTTGTTACGAAAAGTCCTGGAACGTGGTATCAGTCCTAACGTCGTCGTCGGACCTAAAAAGCGATGCCCACTTCTCGAAGCACTAAAGATCAGAGACGTTTTGACAAGGAGAGCGTATGTGAAGTCATTGATGGAACATGGAGCTGATATCAACATGAATCTTCATCACACTAACATTGAGCCAATCTACGTACATATTATTTCGCCCTCCTTTCTCCGGCATACCGAAACCGTTTTGGACGTTCTATTCTGCCCTGATTACTTCCAGCGCGTACCCGAATCCCGGCAAATTGCTTTCCTGGTCTTAGCTTGTCGCTTAACACATGTAAAGGTTCTACAAAAATTACTTGAATTTACAACTGGGCCTGTGATTCAGAGGCTCGTTCAACAGTTTATAGAAAATTTTACGGCTACACCCATTATCACTCGACTATTGGACATCACCGGCTACTCTCTAGCGGTCCAAAATGAGCTCACGGTAGAGTACATGGATATCGCCATAGACATACTGGATGTGTTTGCCCGGCACCACACGTTCTGGGGCTTCCAACCTTCTCCTGGGTCGGCACGGGCTATAGATACTTTAGAGAACCTTATGACTGCGACGCGCAACTCTACACCCAGGCAAAGGGGCGCCTCCTTCTACTTGAGGAAAAGAATCCGAATCGTCGACTCCAGTGCTGAAAGTCCCCAGGTTTTAATCCTTCCACGAGCAGATTTAAACGAGTATCCTCAAGGTTACATCACTATTCTTGACTTAGGGTTGACATTACGTCTTACGTTGGATGGGCGATAGGAAAGCTCCGTTTCGTAGAGCATTTTACTGCAGCAGTAATTATTGTCGGGTAGCCTCATGTATGTTTCGAGTAATAATATACATTGATACACTCTAGTTGAACAATCTTTTGATTCAGCATTGACTACTAGAATATTTCCTACAGGTTGGAGTTATGCCATTGGAGTTACGTCCCCCAAAGATATATCCCCCCCAATACGCATTGATAAGTTAAAAGCCATAGCTGCCGCTCTAGTTCAAATTCTTGGTCGATAGGAAGTTCCCATTGCTGTATTCTTCTCAGGAGATCTGCCGGTCTACCTGATAGTTAATTGAAGCAATCAACCAAGCCAAATGCGACTTGAGAAGTGCAAAGGATCAGACACCGCGCCCGATTCGCTGGGTGATTCCTTTATCCCCGCTCACCTCCTCTCCACATTGACGGATCGCCCCGCGATACAAGGACATCCGAGGTAATGATAATGTTTAGTCTACGGTAGTAGCTAGCAATTATAGTCCGTAATACACCAGCTTCATATAGAGTCGTGCAGAATGTCGGGTTAAATCCAAGAATTGGGTGTTCAGGATAGCATTGCGTAGAAAGGAGCAAAATGGTTGCCCGACATATCAAGACAGCTGGCCTCGTGGCAAACACCGCAATTAACCAAAAAGTGTCAGATATCGTGAAAGGTGTAATAGACGACATCAGGGCTAACGGCGATAAATCTGTGAGGTCATATTCCGAAAAGTTCGATAAATGGTCACCGCCATCGTTTAAGTTGACAGAGAGTCAAATACAAGAATGTATATCGAAAGTATCAGCACAAACAATAGCAGATATCAAGGAAGCGCAGAAGAATGTTCGGCGGTTTGCCGAGGCCCAAAGGGCAAGCATCAAAGACTTCGAGGTCGAGATCCAGCCGGGTGTGTTCCTCGGACAGAGAAATAACCCTATTAGCACGGCTGGTGCTTACATTCCAGGGGGGCGTTATCCGTTACTCGCATCTGCTCACATGACAATATTGACTGCGAAGGTTGCTGGCGTCAAGCATGTTATTGCCTGTACACCACCTATTTTAGGCCAGGTCCCTAATGCGACTGTCGCAGCAGCACATTTTGCTGGTGCAGACGAGATCTTTTTGCTCGGAGGGACACAGGCCATTGCTTCCATGGCCATAGGCACAGAATCGATTAAGAAAGTGGATTTCATCGCCGGCCCTGGGAATCCTTTCGTCGCGGAGGCCAAGCGGCAATTATTTGGGGAGATTGGAATTGATCTCTTGGCCGGACCGACCGAAGTTCTCATCGTCGCCGATGAATATGCGGACCCTTTTACGATCGCGACGGACTTACTATCTCAGGCTGAGCATGGACCGGATTCGCCAGCGGTACTAATAACCACTTCGGAGGAGGTCGGTCAGGAGACGATAAAATATGTTGACCAGATCTTAAAAGATATGCCGACGGCAGAGCTCGCGGGAATTTCATGGCGGGATTACGGCGAGGTGGTCGTGGTGGATAGCTTAGATGAGGCATACGAGCTCGCAGACGTGTATTCGAGCGAGCATGTGCAAATTCTAACGCGGAATCCTAGAGAGGCTTTGGACAAGATGAAGAACTACGGCTCCTTGTTTCTTGGGGAGAAGACCTGCGTCTCATATGGCGACAAGGTAAGTACCTACTCTTGTTTTCACATTCGTATTGTAGAATATAGCTAAGCGTTCTCATAGTGCATTGGAACAAACCACGTACTGCCTACGCGGAAAGCGGGGAGATACACCGGCGGACTGTGGGTTGGCAAGTATCTGAAAACACAGACGTATCAGGAGGTAGTAAACGAAAAAGCGAGTGGCGAGATTGGACGTCTTTGTGCACGATGCTCGAGAGCTGAGAATTTCGAAGGGCATGCGAGGTCTGGAGACTTGAGAGCACATAAGTATCTCCACGATGCGTATCCTTGGATCGATGAAGCTAGAAAATAGTACCATTGGTTATGAAATGCAGAGGGTATTCTATTGTGTATGCTAGTTGTAATAAGTGAACATCGATGTGCTAAGCAACAAAGCGTCTGGAATAGGAGTAAATCCCTTGAATTGCGCTTTCCGGCCTCCCCATAGTTCGTTACTATACAGTATTATTTTATAGCCAGCCTTTTACATTCTAAAGTTTTTATAATGCCTCGCTGTGCCCCAAGAACCAATATAATACTTTCAATGAGACCCGGAGTGCGTACCCAACAACGCCAATGCAATACCTATCATGCTAGATGCCAATGAAAAATGCAGCAACGACTGCAAATAATGCAGCTGATAACATCGACTGCGACGACGACAGGCCAGCAGCCCCGCTACCGTCATTATCGCTGGAACCATTGTTCATAGTAGCCAGAGACGCTCTCGGGGGTCCCACGACTTTGATACAGGACATAGAAGCTTCGGTTTCAGTGACCAGACTTCCGTTACCTGCCGAGTAGAAGACCGTGAGTATGGGCGTGATAGCCCAGGAAGCCTTTTCTAGATCGTTAAAGGTGGTATCTCCCTGTTCGATTGTCAGACGGCACTTTAATGAGGAAAGATTAGGGGATCGGTGGTGGATACTACTTACTGTGTAGTTATACTGGCTAACCAAGGTGAGATCGTCCTGCTTCGGGATGACAGGCCAGCAGGTTGACGATGAGTTTTGCTGCTGGCTGATGGGTTGTGGTGCATCCTCACCAGTTAAAGCTATTACAAGGTCAGTCATTAATGCAACATTGCGTACCTAAGATATAAAGAAATAGTAGCATCTCTCGATACTTCGAGCGAATTTCATCTTTAATCTCATAGGGAGTAGTTTTATTCGGACTTACCGGCGCTGGTAAAATTACTCCAATGCCCCTCCGAGATCCGAGCACAGGCTTCGTCTTTACTATCTTCCAGGTCTCTCTGCAGTCTCGAGCAAGCCTCCGAGACGGAGAGCCTCTCACTACCACTATTATATCCATTTACCAAAGTCCTGGCCCGGGAGACCAGCGCGTCAACGCATGAAGAGCCCATGGCATCCGCGCACGTGCCCTGCGCAGTCTCATGGTTATCGCCGGGGAAAGCCAGATTCTTAGACGCGCCGTGCAGGAAAACAGCACACGCGCCTGTCGAATTATCTAGGTGTAAGTCCGGTGGTGTGCCTAGGTAGAATGTGTTCTGAAACTCCCGTTTGTTGTTAGACGAGCCGACGTTGAAGCCCTTGGACCATGACAACCCCGAGAGGGCATCGTTGTCAGTCGGCACGCGCGTTAGTCCGACGTAGATAAACGAGCCTGTATCTGCTACGGTGCAATTATCATCTACATTGCTCGTACTGCTGACTGGACACTCGACGTCGACACAGCCAACAATTGTCTGGTTGAGGTCTTGGGCCTGCACCTGCGCGGCTGCAGCAGCCAGCGCTGAGATAGCAAAAGCCGTGCGCACGTTTCCCATTACGATCTGGGAGTTGAGAATTGATGATGTTGGATTTGTGGTAGTTAGTGAATGAAGAAAGGCAACGGGAACAGGGGAAAAGATTCGATACGAGATATTAAAAGGTCTTTTTGACAATAAAGAAAATTAATCTTACGAGAAATTGACCCTTTTCTCAATTGGAAACTTCCAAGAATCCCGTAACTATCTGGCTAGGTATTCGCAGGGACCACAACGTATACTTGGCGCCCTTGCATCGTGGCGTCGATAGAAAATGCAGCTAGGTAGATAATATAATTCAGAAGGCTGTTTGACAGGGTCACAAGCTGAATGCAGATGCAGGAAATAGGGCTGGTTTCTAGTAAAGGGTTCTTAGTAGAGGACCAGAGCCCCCTTGTGGGTATGCGGTCATGGTTAGTAAAACAAACAAGCGATTGAGGCTATAAGAAAGTCACCTGCCTAAAAAGTATCTAATAGGCTTTAAGGCTATTGGACCAGCGATCATTTGTTAGTATATTAATAGACGCCAAGATGGGCTTTGCCTGTGTTACCAACTAACCTAGCAGAGCGCATAAAGAACTTGAAAGAGTTGGAGGATCAGTTAGGATAGATGATGGGGTGGCGAAGCACATACCGGATACGGGGACTGAAACCATACCCCCAATAACTTCCAAGGTTCACAATTTATTTTAAACATCGTCGTCGCTAAAATCAAGATATATCCCATAGAACCGATCGAGCTGAAGCTGCACTTATGCGATCCATTTCCCCTTTTGACCGCTTACTCAACCCCCTTTTTGTCTTGACCTTCCGCAATCGTTATTAGATAATCTCCAGCCATGCGATAGTGACGATCTCATCTTGGGTTCATCTTCTCGAAGGAATCCTCATGCACGCAATACCCGTCGGAGTTGGCGAGACGTCGTATTATTCTTGCCGCACCATTGAGAGCCGCACTGCTTAATAGGGCGTGACCGATAGCCTTATTTGACAAGAGAATGCGAGCATGGGTGTTCTTGGCTGAAGAGCCGCTAGGTTTAGATATTGTGATTTTACATAACGTTTTGATCCTTCAACCAAGATCAGGGGCCAGCTATCCATGTATGGTACTAGCATGAACGCCACAATGTAGCAGAATATACGTGATGCCATAAATCATAAGATATATATCTCCTCTTGATGTCCGTCTATAAACTTCATATTCAATCGTCAACAAACTACAGACGAACCGGTAGGGTTTTTAGAATCTAACTATTTACATTCTTTACGGCCCAAGTGCCTCACACTCTTTGAAATATATTCTAAATATCACACTCGTTTTGTTCTTACCGAATACTCGCACATATTCTACGGCAGTACATAATGGCAGGCGTTATAGAAGCAATTGGCGTGCTCTCAGGTGTACTTGGAATACTACAGTTTGGTATTGACCATTTCCCGAAGGACGATGGGCCAAAGTCTGTTGTTAGGGTTACCGTTGGATTAGATACCCCAGGTGGTCTTAACGATGCCGGTGGTGACCTTCCTGATGTTAGACTATTCAATGAGGCCGGCGAGTTCCTCGGTATCAAGACAGACCCAGGCTCCGTCTCAGATGGTGGTTTCGGCGACATCGAGATTAGCCACAATGACGACTCAAACCAACAACCCGCATATGCCTTATTTTCGGCTAACAACGATGCTATCTGCATTGCACACGCCGTCGTCACTTTCCCAGGCAATGAGAGATATACCTGGGTCGGTGACTGGGGTCGCCAATGCGGCGGTAGTTGGTAATTCAACCCAGCCCTTGATAATACAGTGGGCAATAGATACTAATAATGACAAACTAGGTACTACTCAAACATCTACATAGACAGCAGCAACCGGAAGGTTGACTGCTTGTGGATTGACGGCAACAATGACCAGCCGCAAAGCGGATTCCAAGTCCACTGGCCCGAATTCGTAAACAAGGACGGCGACGAGATTCCATCGGACGAGGCCGGGATGGCCGATAAAGTAGACTACCTGTGCAACAGAGGGCCTCCGTTCAAGATGTACAACTACGAAGACAACAGAGACCCGCACGGCATTACCTACTGGATCCTCAACAACAAGCGCTCCGAGGATAGAACCGACAACCGCAAAATCGGAATGTCCTACGCTCCGCCGAAATACCCTACCTCCGCCAAGTTCGGCCGCAACTCGCCCCGAGGAAACAGCACCGTTCCTTCTGGCTCCAGCCGCCAGGCCAACCGTCTAGTAGTCAGCAACAACGCCCAGCACACGGCGGTCGAGCTCTGCGAGAGCAAGACGTCCTACGGTCCGGACTTCTTGGATCTGATGGACAAGAAATTCTGTCGTATGTCGGACAAGACTCTTTGGCCGGTGTGCGACGGCGCTCAGACCGTAGACAACTGCTTTAACACGGACGTCCAGCAACTCATTGTCAATGGTGTTTCGGCTAGGGACAGCCCCTATAGCAACGTTGTAGACTGGACGTCGGGGAATTAGATGGGCTTGGGTATTTTGTAGACTCTGGGTTGGGATGGACGGAAAATATGTACAAGTATTCATGACTGTCGGCGCATGGGAGCAGGTTATTTATTATTTATTAAGGCCTTGGTTGTACAGTATGACTGTGATGTAGGATATTCAAGCATGCAACTAGATGTGACAGCAAGATAATAGCAGTTGGGCTTGATCTTTTTTAAGGCGGGCCGAGTTAATATTAGTTGAAAGTGAGAGTTTTCGAAAAGAAAGTGTAGTATTTAGGTTCATCTTTAGAGAGTCTTATAGTCGTCATCTATAATAGTGTTAGTTGAGAGTTCTTAGTTAAAAGTTCGAGAAGATGTTGGTGATTAGTTTACAACCAACCAGAGCAGGTATTTGTATCCCGATAGAATTCTTTAATTGGATAAACAGCATTTAGTTTACTAGATAAATCAAATTTCTCTTGTATAGTGAACACCGGAGTTAACAGCAAAACTTGAAATCTTGTTGTGTTGGTTGGACTCAAAGCATAAGCCAAGCGTTTCGTATATATGGAAATGTTTCCTCAAACATGTAGTCAACCGAATAACCAACACATTGATATAATATTATATAAAAACATATTACGCCCACCAAAATACTTACCATAGTACCAACATTTACTAATAAGAGAGAAGGGATGTTAAAAATTGGAGATTTGTAGGTCAAACTTTCACTAAAAAGATACTGCCCATCCTGGGGTCGAACCAGGGATCTTCTGATGTAACTGCTATTGTTCATTGAACAATGAATAACAGTCAGACGCCTTAACCACTGGGCCAATGGGCATTGAATCTTCGCGAGGTTTGCCAAGTGACAGTGAAAATTTTGCAAGTTACTCTAACTTATTACCCACAAAGCGTTGCCCACCACGCTACCTAACGTCTCGTGAGCGGGTCTTTGCGGCTCGTGAAGCGAATTCTTACAACTAAAAATAACAAAACATCATCTAGTAAGAATATTAAAGTAGGTAGGTTTCTGGATTATTTTCAAGTTTAGTTTAATAGGGGTTTGGGGTGGGATATTTACACTTTGCCGTGGTAATTACCTACCTATCACCACTTCAGTATATTCTGTATTAACTATAGTTAACAGGCTGTCAGATGACAAGGATTACGATAGGCGTATGACGTGATAAGGGTTCTAAAATTTAGGCTGAAGCTATCTACCAGCTAGTCATTCGTTATGTTATATATAAGGGAACCTTGGTTTCCTCATAGATTTAGGAAAAGGCAGGCGTTAAAAACACTGAAAATTATATACATACTATAGGCTATTCACCAGCTAGTCACCTGTCACTCCGTAGTGGTCACATACCAAGGGCTGCTCATGACACAGGCACATCAACTTTTTAACATATTAAACAACGGTATTAATATTCGAAAAAATTTGAACCCTGATAAATAGAATCCAGAAACTACCAAACGTCTTAATTACGAGTTGTAATTTATACTTGCTCACGTTATCGTAGACTCCTTATGAGAGTGTTATTATGCGAATTTGCCCACGTCACTTTCTCTCATTGCCCCCATGCCTCCAAGATCATGCGTCTTATTTTGCAACGTATAGTATTTAAGCGTCCCTTCTCTCTCACCGCCAATTTGCTACACTTACTACCTAACACCATGAGACGCACCGAACTTCGGTTGCAAGACGGCATTCTTCGGTTTTGAGAATCGATGCTGACGCGGCGCTTTTCCTGGCAAGTCTTGGCTATGGTCAGTATGTTGTCATCTTGTTAGAACCTAGTATTACCTTGTTGGTTTTGGGGCCTTGGTACAACATGTCTCGGATATGGGAGAGCCAAACACATTACAGTATTCCTTGACACCTTGTTTCTTATGTCTCAGCCACGGCGTAACTGTGTTCTTATAAGGAAATAGATGGCTATCAACAATGGATATACTTCCAGAACGGGGGAAATGCTAAATTGGGAACTACTAAGCATACTCATCCAATAGTTGTTTCTATCTTATCGTACGATCTCTCCAATCACAATTACGAAGGCGACATACGCCTCAGAGCCTTATATAATTACCAAGTCTTATACAACCTTATAGCCCACTCTGTCAGATGCCCAGACAGATGTTGGCTTGGCGTTAGATATCCAATTCGTACGTCCGTTCGGTCATAATTCCCATCCAATTATTATTATAATTTGGTTGCAATTCTCTAGGCAAACGGTAATAAACTAAATTTAAGTCTTATGATCCCGAGGGGTCCCGCGATTATCCGTATGCTGCATGTTTTATATGGATACGAGTGTAGCAAAGATCGCGGCCTGTAATCACCAATACTTAGGTTATGGTGGGATAGTCCTTAGGGCTAATGATACCTCTATTGTATATTGGAACAGACAATTAATTGTATAAAGAGAATCTTAGGTACTTTAACAAACGTCTCTGACCTTCTCCACGCGCAGAACGTGAAGTCATTCGGAAATTTTAACGGGAACAATCAAAATATATCATGTTATCAATCACCATTAAACTTCTAGAACGTCACAATCTATTTTCGAACAAAATAAACCAAATGGTTATGCTCACTACATACCCAAAAGGAGATCTCCGAGGTTGGTCTTGAACCCTTGTCTCCGACATTTGGTATACCAACCAACCAGTTATCCAGATAGACCATCAAGCATGATCTCGCTGTACTACAAGGGTAAATGATCAGATGGCACATGTAATTGCTTATGGGCTTCAAGACGAATGTAATGACTTGGTGACCAAGGAATATCTTAAATATATAAATCCTACTTTAGGACACTTACTAGACAGATTCAACACGCAAATAAGATAAATAACTACTGCACTGAAGTCACTACTGTCTTTATACCAACCCCAAAGAACAATACTAAAAATTCTTAGACGAACACCATCAAAATGTCTATAGCTGAAGCCTCTGACCTGTTGATCGCCCCTGGATCTCTCGTCGTCGTGACGGGTGCGAATGGGTATATCGGATCTCATATTGTGGACCAGTTTCTGCAACGAGGTTACCGGGTCCGTGGTACTGTCCGCAAGGCCTCTAGGGATCGATGGCTGAAAGACCATTTTGACGGGAAATATCCGGGCAAATTCGAGTTGGTCGAAGTGCCCGATATGGTAGCAAGCGGCGCATATGACGAGGCCATCAAAGGGGCGTCTGGCTTCGTACACGCCGCGGCTCCTGCTATGGATGCGATGGAAAGCGCCGATCCCTACGCCAGGGTCAAAATCGTAGTGGACAGCACGGTACGCGCCCTAGAATCAGCCGCAAAAGAGCCGGGGATAAAACGAGTCGTCTTAACATCTTCTTCCGGGGCGGCGGTGTTTCCTATCCCTAACAAGGTTATGTCGATTGACCCAAACACCTGGAACGAATACTCAGTTAAGGAGGCATTCGCCCCGCCACCGTACGAGGGCGAAAAACGCGTGGTAGATGTCTATTATGCCAGCAAGACTAAGGGCGAGCAGGCGGCGTGGGAATGGATCCGTGAACACAAACCTCACTTCACATTCAATGCGATCCTGCCTGACTTTAATACAGGGGCACCTATCAACGTAGCTCGACAGGCCTCCCGCAGTACGGCGGGTATGATTAGAGTCTTGATAGACAAAGGTGAAGCCCTGATGCCGGAGGACGTGGTATTTCCGCCACAGTGGTATATTGATGTTCGTGACGATGCCGCATTGCATGTGGCTGCGTTAATATATCCTGATGTGGCGGGCGAACGCCTCTTCGGCTTCGCTTACCCTTTTACCGTCAACGATGTCATCCAAACGCTGAAAGCGCTATACCCAAACCACAAATTCGGCCAGGAGATCTCCGACGCAGGTAAAGATCTTTGCAGTGTCGCAAACGAGAGAGCTGAGGAGCTGCTGAAGCGACTCACCGGCCACGGATGGACGAGTTTGGCTGATGGTCTGAAGGATACTGCTGAAGCATTGGGGATTCATTAATCGTAGAATGATGTCAATACCCGACCTGTCGTGTCGCATCGCAGGCGGTACAAAGTGCGCCCGAGGATGGATTCACGATGGTTCCACCATATGTAGATAGAAAGAGAGTATGTAGCGGTTTGATTAACAATACGCTATTGTTTTAAGCCGAATGCTACACAAGCAGAATAGCGTCGAAATAATAATTGGCGCAGTCTATTAACAATTATGTATTAACAATTATGCTGGTAGGTGCGTACGGTGCGCCACCTTTTTTGACGTCTTTTACGGTTGACCAGGGCGATAACTATGCTAAAACCAAAAAATCAATAGGTATATAGTATAGGGTAGATTTAAAAAGTTTTATTAATAATTTAATTAAATTAAACCTTTATATGTTACATAAATAAAGATATTTACTTAAATGAAAATTTTTTTTATTAAATTATTTTAATTTTATTTTACTTTATAATAATTTTAATAAATAATTTTTAACTTTTATCCACTTAAAAAATCTAAATTTATAATGCGTTTTATATTTTAAATATATATTTTTATTATATTAAAATTTACAAATTTTATTAATTATAATAATACCCTTTTTATTAAAATATATTAAAATTATAATTATTAAAAATTAAAATTAATTTAAAGTAAATATATATAAATTTAATTAAACGTTAACAAATATATATAAATAACGTTACTTTTATATAAATAATACTACTTAAATACCTTAACTTATTAACTTAAAATTAAAAAAAGAAAATTATTATAACTTTACCCAAGTTTATTAATAAAAAAAACAAAAAACATATAACATAAAATATTTTCGATTAATTTCGTAAAAACATATTTAACAACATACGCAATTTAATTAAAAAAAAATTTATAAATTTTAATTAATATATATTTATATTAATTTATACTAATTAATATTAAGTTATTTAATACTTTATTAAATTAAAAGAAATTTATAAAAAAAATAAAATTATTTATGCCAACTTTAATCTTAATTATTAATAAAAAATATTAACTATCGTAGTTTATTTCACAATCAAAAAAAACTAATCCAAATCCGTGCGATTAATATTAACATATAAAATTACGCGGTTTTTACTTAAAATACGTTACCAAACTTTATATTCTTTTTTTTAAAACATATACCAATTACTAATATTTAAATATAACTTTTAACTATTTATTTTATTAAAATATAACTTAATTAAACATATATAAAATTAAACAATATTAATAATATTAAAAAATAATTAAAAAAAATAAAAAACAAAATCGATTAAATTTAAATAATAACAATATCAACTTTAACAAATTTATATTAAATAAAAACACGTTAAACAAATTAATTACGCAAAAACTCGAAAAATATTACGTTATAATTAACGTAAAATTAACTCGTTATTAATATAGTTATATACTTTAAAAATAACAACGTTATTAAACAAATACATATAAATAACCTTAAAAAACACCCCTTTTATATAATTAACGTATTAATAGTAAAAAAAATTATTAATTCGAAAAAAAAAATAATAAATTAATATAATTAAAAAAAAACAACTTAATTTAATATACATTAAAATAAACTTAAATTAATTTAAAATTATTAAATTTTATTAAATACTAATACATTAAATTAATATTAATTTAATAAAGTTTTTTCAAAATTTACTTACGATTTTTTTTTAAATAAAAAATAAAAAAAATAAAAAATAAAATATAAAAATAAAATAAAATAAAATAAAATAAAATAAAATATTTTATATTTATATTTATATTTATATTTATATTTATATTTATATTTATATTTATATTTATATTTATATTTATATTTATATTTATATTTATATTTATATTTATATTAATATTAATATTAATTATTATTTAAAAAAACATTATAATAATTATAAAAAATATATAAAAATAATTTAAATATTATATATAATATATATATATTAATTTTATTAATTTATTTTATATAATATTTTATTTAATTATATTAAAATTATTATTATATATTTTAATTATATAATTAAAAATAATATAATTTATATTTATAAATAATAATTTATTTTATTTTAAATTTTAATATTTATAATTAAAAAATAAATAAAATAAATAAAATAAATAAAATAAATAAAATAAATAAAATAAATAAAATAAATAAAATAAATAAAATAAATAAAATAAATAAAAT